AGAGAGAGAGAGAGAGAGAGAGAGAGAGAGAAGGCGCGGGGAGGGGAGGGAGAATTACAGAGGGAGGAAGAAGCCGAGAGAGGAAAAAACGAGAGTTTCCGGTGGCGTTACACTGCTGTTTCAGTTTGTATAACTTTGAATGACGAGGCCGCAGGTGGGTTCCCGAGAGGGCTCGCAGAAGAGAGACCAGGGGGGGTGTCAGGGCAACACGCTCTGGTAGTCGGTATGAGAGGCTGGCGCGGGAAGGGACGGCGAGAGAATAGCGCCGACGAGAACACTGGCGATGAAACCTCTTGTTGTTCCAACCGAGATTGGGATGGCCTACAGAGGCAGGTCATTGTACACGTTCAATCACACACGCGTAGATGTATTTGGGTACTTTGTTATGAGCTACCGTGGGATTTAGCTGTTAGCTACACCAAAGCATTCCGCTGCATACGACTATGTACCGTTTTTCTCTCCTATCTCCGATCGACACCCGTTTCCCATTCCCATTCCCCGCACGTAATCTGCCTTCGTTGTCGTTGTCTCTTGCAGGTGGCTGCGGCGGAGGCGGGAGGCAAGACCGCCACTGCGCGCCAGCGCAAGAAAATTCTTCAAGACATCGAGGTACCACAGACTCTCGTTGCTTTTGCAAGGCCCTTTCCTGTTAAATTCTTGTCCTTTGATGCACATAACTTTTTTGGCTTTCATCCTGCTCCAATTGTGTTGCCACCTCTTGTAACCCCTGTACACGGTTCACTTGAGTTGTGTCGCTAACCGTGGTGCAACCTACAAATTGTTCCCAACCCTCACTTTTTTCGCATACCCATATGTGCGCGCATGCATGGCTATTGTGTGCTCCTGCTGCTGCATGCATCTGAGGGTGCTAACAAGAAGGTAGGGGCAAATAACGCTGGCGTATCCCCTGCCCCCCTCCCCCTCCGTCCCCCCAGTTCCGTCTCTCTGCGTCCCTTTGTCTCGGCGCTTGATGCCTCTCTCGGAACCAAGCCATCAATGACATTTTTTTTTTTATCTACCCGCGAAAATTTCGTCCGCACCGGTGTCCCTGATCAACTGGGTCGAGCGCGGGCGGAGGGGCCGCCACCGCTGCCAACTGTTTTTGTCCATTTCGTGTGTGAATCAACGAGTTTCTTTCGTCACACCGATAAAAAAAAAAAGGCTCGTCGACGAGCTGCGAAGGAGGAGGAGATGGAGGAGGCTGCCCACCGCGACGGGGCTCAGTTCGGGTGCTCGCAGACGGCGGTGACCGCCGGAGATCAGCAGTGGGCCAACTCGCTGGACGTGACGATCGAAGCCTTCAGCATCTCGGCGCACGACAAGACCCTGTTTAAGGACTCTCCCCTCCAGGTAAAGGGGGACGTGTATTCTCGCTCGCTTGCTCTCGCTCTCGCCCTGTCCGTCTGTATATATACATGTATATCTCTGTCTGTCTCTCTCCCTCTCTCTACTTCTCTCGTAAATGTGTTGTCGATGGTGTTGTTGCTGGTGGCGCCAAAGGTCGTTCGTGTGCACTTGTCGTAGCACGAGAAACCCGCAAGAACCGCCCCTCTCTCACGGTTTTCCTACGGGCGTACGGTCTAGCGATTTGCATGGACCAGCGCTTCTTTCGCTCAGCCTACGAGTGCACGCACACCTGTACCCAGATGTTTTGGTGCAGCAAATCTCGACTCAAAGATCCGTGCGGTCCGTAATTGTATGTATTCGTTGCGAGGGATGAGCTATCGTTTTCTACAATACCGGGATGCCAGGGTCCTCACAGACATGAGCAAGACTGAGTTTTTTTTCGTCTCGCTTTCCGAAACCACATGATGTCTCCGACTTCCGGACCCTCCACGCATACCTCAGCAAGAGCACTTCCAAGGGTGCTGGGTTTGCAGCAGTAGAAAAGCGAAAATGGCTGCATTTGTTCGAACAACCAAGGTTCTCACCCACTGCTGTCGTAACTGTGTCTGCTCGCTCGCGTGTTTGCCCGCGTTGTTGCTTGTGCCTCCTTCAGATCGTGCACGGACGCAAGTACGGCCTGGTCGGCCCTAACGGGGCGGGGAAGTCCACCCTCCTCAAGATGATGGCCTCGGGAGAGCTCAAGATTCCCCCGAGGTATGCATGCATGCATGCATGCGTACTAGCATGTGGGTTTTGCACCGCCGACCGGTGTCACGGATCCCCGCGAAGAGGCGAAACACCAGCCGAAAAGACGTGGAAATATATTGTTCTAAAGGACCCGGAATAAATGATGGAAGGGACCTGGCTGGAAAGAGAGTGCTGGGACCAAGCGCTCTTGCTCTGTTTTGACGGTTTCAGGAAGACATAATGCCGCGTGGTGTGGATATGTCAGATCCACAAAAAGAGAGAACTTGCGATCCGCCAGCAGAGCCACTGACTGCTTTTTGTTTTGCGTAACCAATCTCTCTGGCACGTACAAATCACGTCAATGAAATTGTGTAGCTGACTAAATAGCACCACATTCTCCGTCGGGAGGCTTGATACAAACGTGATCCCCGTCCCGTTTTTTTTCTTTTGGTCTGGACAAAACCGGCATTGTTTTCTTACGAGCTTGTGTTGTTGCCTCTCGTTTTTGCTTTTTGTCCTCCGTTGGTCAGGATCGACTGCCTGTACGTGGAGCAGGAGGTGGTGGCCGACGACACCCCGGCGGTAGTCGCCGTCATGAAGGCCGACAAGGCCAGGCAAGAAGAAAAATACATGACAAGTATATAAGATTTGCTCAAGGAGGTTGTGAAGCCTGAGCGTGTGCCGTCGTGTGCCCGCCGCTTTGGGTGCTTCTGCTGCTGCTGCTGCTGCTGCTTCTGCTGCTTTTTTTTGTTCTATTGGCACACCGCACTAATCGGTGAGAGAAGTTGTGATATTACAGCACGCATACGCCTCAACACACACCAAAGCCCCGGGGTTGTGTGCTAGACTCTGGAAGGTTTATTTCCCCGTGTCTCGAGACAACGGCACCATCTACACATACCGGCGGCAAGCTACGCCGCCAGTGGACCCCCCCCCACCACGCTTGTTGGTGATGGCGGATGCGGTAGACGAGTAGCGTACCGTTGATGGACGACAGCTTACTCCCCCCCCCCCCCCCCCCCCCCCCCCCCCCCCCCCCCCCCCCCCCCCCC